GCCCTCACCTGTCCCGGACCCCTGTGCTGCTTCACCTGCCCCACCAGGCTAGATCGGACACTCCCTGTTGCTACCTCCTCTTACGCTCCCCTCACTGGCTTGGAGCCATCTAGCTTGAACCTCTCAAGGGCCTAGACCTTTGCTTTTAAGCGTTTTGGCTTTGTATCTGTTCATGTAACACACACACAAAGTTGTTGCCCTGCAAATAACCAAGATCTAAGGCTGGGTGTCCCTGGGGCAAGGCAGAGGCCACCATTCAGCCTTCAGTTCTGCCCAGATTCAGAGGTTCTCCTGCTAGATTAAAACCTCCCCAGGTTGCTCAGCTGCGTGGGGGACAGAAGCCTTGCCCCAGAACTGGGCCTTGGATGAATCCCTAAAACACAACCCTGGGGCCGGCATAGTAGCAGGCCTGGTGCTATGAACCCATAGCACTCAGCACTGCACTGACCAGTGGGTTCCCTGAGCTGCCTGCCCAAGGGCTTGGGGACACAGGCCTCTGTGCCCTCCTTCGTGGACGTCTGATGGCTCTAGAATCACAGTCACCATGAAACATTGGACCCATGTCCACACCCCACTAAAGGGCATACTGCACGGTCTTATAGAGGAATGCTGGGTACTGGGAGCTGCCTCTTGGGAGCTTGATGGAGCAAATCTTGAACCTGGTTTTCACAAAATCTGGGTAGGAACAGAAAGAAGACTATTTCCCCCTGACCAGCTGGGACTAGGCTAAACCTTCAGACATGAGGTAGGCTGACAGCCTCTCCAGACACATTACCTCCTCTTCTCCACACACACACAAGTACCCACACATACACATACATCATACATGCACTTGGGGTCTTCAGCAGGATGGTCATGTCCACAGGTGCACTCATCAATTCTCATCCACATGCACGTTATGGTAGCACATGTACACCGAAACATGGACATACGGAGAAAAGTCACCCACGTGTGAACACCTAGCCTCTGCACGTACTCCACAGCTCCTCCTGCCTGGAGTCACAGTGCCGAACCGGAGACTGGAAATCTCTGCCCACTTCTGAACTGTTTTTACGTCTACTCGGCCCCAGTAGCTTCATCCTTCTGACCCATCAGGAGGCATGGTGACTGTAACAGAGCTTGCTGCTGTGGATGGAAAAGGGACCCCTGCACGTGAGCTTTGAACCCACAGGGTAAGGCTGCAGGCTCTGGCAGGGAGGCAGGGAGGCCCCCACCCCTTGTTAAAGCTACGTAATCACGTGCAGAAGAATGGAATGCAATCCTTATTTCACATCATATACAAAATTCAACTCAAAATGGGTTAAAAACGTAAACGTAACACAAGAAACCATAAAACTACTAGAAGAAAATGAGAAAAGCTTCTTAACATTGGTCTGGGCAGTGATTTTTTTTTATATGATACCAGAAGCATAGGCAACAAACACAAAAGTAGACAAGTGGGACTGCATCAGACTAGAAAGCCTCTCTGTATAACAAGGAAAACAATCAATGGAGTGAAAAGGCAACCTACAGAATGGGAAAATACATCTGCAAACCATATATCTGATAGGATTATATCTAAAAAAATAAGTAACTCATACAACTCAATACAAAAAAATCCAATTTAGAAATAGGCAAAAGACCTAAATAGATATTTATCAGAAGAAGACAAACAAATGGTCAATAGGTACATGGAAAGATGCTCAGCAACACTAATGATCAGGGAAATGCAAGTCAAAGCCACAATGAGATATCACCTCACACCTGTTAGAATGGCTATTATTTTTTAAAAAAAGAGAAGTGTTGGTGAAAATGTGGAGAAAACAAACCTCTTGTGCACATTTGATGAGAATGCATATTAGGGCAGCCACTGTGGAAAACACTACGGAGGTTCTTCACAAAAATTTAAAACAGAACTCTTACAGGTACTTCTCAGTCTCCAAGAGGTGCTATCAGATAGCCCCCCATCAGAGGGGGGGCTGTCCCCAGCTCGGTTCTTGTCCTGCTCCTGTGAGTGAATTCAAACTATTGACTACAGATGATTGTGCTGTGATAAAGACAATTTATTAAGAAATTAAAGCATGCAAATTTATTAAAGAAGCAAGGCAAGCAAACCTAAACATCTGGTTTACGAAGCACAGATGAGCTCTCAGGTAATCTGAAGAGTCAGTGCATGGGGGGTTCTGCCTTACATACTTTTCTGTCATTAGATTTTAAAATTCCCCTGCTAGATGTCCTGGTACAGGTTAACTCTGAAGGTCTCTCTCCCTTTACTTTGTCTCAGAATTTATGAGAAGCACCCGGCAATTACATCCTGTGACTGTAGGCTTCTCTGTTTAAACCGCAGGATGAGACTGCACTTTTCTTCCCCTCCCCTCTCTTCTCTGCTCTCTTTTAGTTAGTTTTGGGGTGATTTACACTGTGTATGCTCTGGTTGGGGAGAAGGGGCATTAAAACTCCTCCTCTCTCCTTTGTTCCCGTCCCCTCCTCTCCTGCATTCTTTGGAGAGACATTAGCCATTTGTTCTCAAGTGTCCTTGGTTGGGGAAGATGAGGCCTTGCTATTCACAAGCTGGCTGTAGGCTGCCAAACTGTTCCTTGTTTAATTTTCTTGTCTTGGTTTCTCTATTCCTCCTGTCTTTAAATTTTTCTAGTTTTTCACTATCCTGTAACTGAACTACCACATAGGCAGCAATCCCACTTCTGTGAGTATCTCCAAACAAGTGAAATCAGAATGTTTAAGAGATATCTGCTCTCCCATGCTCACTGCAGCATTGTTCACTATAGCCACGATACAGAAACAACATAATGTCCTTTGATAGATTATATGTCAGGTCTTCTTTAAAATATTCATACATTCCATATATATTCATATATTTCATATATATACATATATGGCCCTTCGTCACAACATGAATGGAGCTGGGGGACATTAAGCTAAGCAAAATTAGTCATATATGTAAAGACAAATATTGTATGCTCTCTCATGTGGGATCTAAAAGTCAGACTCAGGCAGGGAGTATCACTGGTTGCTAGGGACTCAGGAAGGGAGTAAATAGGGCGATGTTGGTTATAGGGGGAAAAGTTGCAGTTATGCTGGTGGGAATGCAGACTGGTGCAGACACTATGGAAAACAATATGGTGTTACCTCAAAAAATTAAAATTGAACTGCCATTTGACCCAGTGATCCCACATCTAGGAATATACCCTAAGAAGCCTGAAACACCAATCAGAAAGAATATATGTACCCCCATGTTTGTAGCAGCACTATTTACTGTTGTAATCCAGAAGAATCAACCTCACTCGGACACAAAGTAATTTTGAATATTAGGAGCTTTATTACCTGCGCAGGGACTGCAGCCAACCTACACAGAGGAGAACTGCAGCCCCGAGCTCAGGGGGAGGGTTGCTTATATAGGACAGGGGTTACTCAAGAGTTTAGCAGAGCAAGCAAGCTACGTGTACAGAAGCGGATATCAGCAGTTAGTAACCGCACAAGTTGTTTGTTTTATATTTCTTAACATTTATTAGATCCCAGCCTTGAATGTCTCATTGTCCCGTCTGGCATCCCCTGATTAGTTAAGCTCATGGTCACTACCCTTGTGGTGAAGAAATTTTGCAAAAACAACTCGGGTTCAAGGAACCCAGGAGAGGTTCCTTCTTCTAGCGGATGGAGAATTACTGGGTTACAACATTTACAATACCTAAGATTTGGAAACAGCCCAAGAGCCCATCAGTAGATGAATGAATAAAAAACCTGTGGTATGTATCACAATGGAACACTATGCAGCTGTAAGAAAGAAAGATCTCTTATCTTTTGAGATGGCATGGAGGGACCTGGAGAGTATTATGCTAAGTGAAATAAGCCAATTAGAGAAAGACAAATACCACATGATCTCACTTATTTGTGGAATATATAATGAACAAAACAAGCTGAGGAACAAAATAGACCTAGAGACATGGAAGTGGGGTGCAGACTAACAAACCTCAGAAGAGGTGGATGTGGGGGGGTGAGATAAACCACAGCACTTATACACATGTATGTGTAAACAAGGACATAGACAATAATGCTGGGTGCTTGGGGGGTGGGGGCCGGGATTGAGAGGAGGGTGTCAATGGGGGAAAAAAGGAGAAACATCTGTAACAATAACAAAAATGTTGCAGTTATGTGGGATGAATAATTCTGGAGATGTAATGTACAGTATGGTGACTTTAGTTAACAATACTGTATTGTACACTTGAAATTTGCTAAGATGATAGATCTTAAGTGTTGTTACCACATACACAAAATGGTAAATGTGAGGCAATGAGTATGGTAATTAGCTTGATTGTAGTGATTATTTCACAATGTATACCTATATCAAAGCATCAAGTTGTACATCTTAAAAATACACAGTTTTTATTTGTCAATTATACCTCAGTAAAACTGGGGGATTGGGGTGGTTAGCAGCTGAAGAAGCCGGCTGCTTTCCTACGGAACAAAACGCTGCTCTGATGGGCAAGGTCAGTAAGGAGAGATCCCGAATCAAGGCCTTCCCGAAGTGCCTTAGCGTGGATCAACCTAGGTCTGCCCAGAGTTCAAATCCTGGCTCTATCAGCCTTATATTGCTGTGTGATTTGATGACTACGCACATTCTCTGGTCTTTCAGAGCTGCATTTGCCCATCTGTGGCGTGGGGGCACTTCTTGGTGTTAGGAATCAGAACCGGCCCATCCCCATGGCTCAGGCATGCCTGTGTCCGCAAGGCCCTTGGGCACCCCAGAGCCGCCACCAGTGCGCCTGGCCATCCTGGTTCCGTGAGCCATTCCACAGAATGGCCAAGGTCAGAGCACTGCGCTCGCCGGACTCCCCCGACCCTGCCCGCCCGGCCTCAGTGCTGGGTTCCACGCCGGCAGCCCTGGCACACACGTGCCAGCTGCGCACAGGAGCTGCCCCGAGAGCACGGCGGCTCCGCCCCCTCTGGGCGCTTCTGGCCCGCTCGTGCACCCGCACTGATCGCTGGGCGGCAAGAAGGCCGACGCGATGGCCAGGGGCCCGCAGGCCCGGCACCGCCCCGCGGTCCCCGGCCGCGCCCTGCGCGCTGTGCTGCGCTGCAACCTGCCACCAGGCGCCCAGAGCGTGGTGGTCTTGGCCGTGCTGGCGCTCCTCGTCCTCATCAACGTCGTGCTGGTCTTCCTGCTCGCCTTCCGCTGACGCCCAGGCCAGGCGCCCCGCCCTGGGTGAGTGGCGCCGCCGTCGCTCGCCTCCCTGCTGCGCTCCTCTCTTTGCAGCCCGCCCGGCCCGGTGCGCCGGCTCCCGGCGGAGACCCAGGCGGAGCTGCGCCCGCCCTGACCCCGCGCGCCGCTGGCCGAGGGCTCCCCTGCCTGCGGAGCCTGGTGACACGTGCCGCGTCCTTCCTGTCATCGGGAGTGAGTGCGTGTGAGTGTGAGTGAGTGCGTGTGAGTGTGAGTGTGTGTGTGTGTGTGTGTGTGTGTGTGAGTGTGTGTGTGAGACGAAAATGGCGCATCTCGCGGGGTGACTGGAGAAACGGGTGCAGCTGTGGTGTTGCTGCTGTGGGTGTCTGGAAGCTGC